GATTTCTCACCTATTCAGCGGACGCGTTTCTTTTCATATAATTTTGTAGAGAATTGAATGGCGCGTCTTTTAGATAAAGGTTGAAGCCTGGGCAATGAAAATTGAGGGAGATATTTACGAAATACTGACACCGCCATTCTTTATGGGCCACCCGTTACTTTGTATTAATACAAAATACAGAACTAAATATAAGTTGATTTGATTAAAAAATAACGTCATTAAGTAGAAATGAAGGAGCTTGAAATTCATTTTAATTTTTTTCAATCAATATTTCTTATGCTATTTGAAATCATAGTGCTACTCTCCTGAAAAAACATTATCACCTCATAACACATAGTTAATTTTATTTTGTCGTTTTTTTTTATGAACTGAAAAATATGACCAACATCTTCAAATATCTATAAATGTCTTGTATATTTAATGGGATATAATTTAGCACAATTATTTCGTGTTGCTGGTCTTGTAAAATTGTGGGTTACTCACTTCAATTGATGAAAATCAATATTGAATAAAATATTATTTGGTAAGGATGTTTTTCTATCAATTAAAAATTATTCAATATAATCATCATGAACATTATCAAGTTCTCATTCAATGAGATAGAGAAAATTGAAAAATCAATAAATTTGTTTCTTGATATTGTTTCTGATTTTGTGGTGTTTGATTAGTTAAAAAAATAAATATTCAATAAATGGAAATGATTGAGAAATTCGAATATAAACATTGATATTCAAATGAATACTAATAAAATAATGATATTTTTCAAACATATTTAAATAATCTACTTAGAAAATTATTTGTAATATTAGAATAGCATCTAATTCTTTTCAAATATGAATAAATATGACCATTATCTATTTTACATTTAGAAAAATATCTAATTAACATAAGAAATAATTTGATTACCAATAGAAAATAAATGAATGAATATTAAATTGAAATTTTTTTGAATGTTATAAATCATTAATAATGTTCTTTTTCAAATAATTACCATTAACAAATGTATAATTATGATTAATTAGGGGAGATACGAAGCAATTTTTTTTCTAAATATGACATACCATGTTAAAGTGGCACAATTAATTCAGCATGCACAAATGTATTCGCATCATAAATTAATGAAAAACATTTTAGATTAAATAATCTTTTCTAACAAAAAAAGAATTCAATTAATTTATTTTATTATTGGGTGTGAGTGTGGATGTGTGGCGTGTGAGTATAGATGTGGATGGGCCTTCTTTCCATCAATACCCATCAGAGTGAGGAAACTTTGCTTCTGTGCATATGACAGTTTATATCAGGTGTTTGCATCGTATTTTAATGGTAGTCAGTGGGTATTTCAATAAACGTTTCTTTTTTTATAAATTTCTAATAAATGTTTGTTATATAGGATTTTGAAGTATTTTTCACGGGTTATTTATCAGTATATAATTCATTTAGTTTGCATTAAGTAATAATTGCATAGATCATGAAACATGTATTAAGTTTGTTATTCAGGATTCTCCTATTTGAAAATGTTATCAGGTCCTAAGCTTGTAAATATCAACTTAAATCATTTAAAAAATATAAAGTATAGTTTCTATCAATATGCTATTTATTTCTACACGAAACAATCATTAAAATTCAATGGGATTGATTTCTGTAGAAATCTCCACCCGTCCCCTTTGACGAACTTCTCTCACACAACATGAAAATCGAAATTTAAAAAATCTTGAGAAAGTGGTTTCAAGTCGTTTTGAAGCTGGAAAAAAAACATCACGATTCGACTCAGCATGATGAATTATTCCTATATTCAACACCTTCCAAGGTGAATTGGCTGAATTTAGATGTTTGGGGAAAATCCTTGTAACTCTGGAATGAAGTATGCTAGACTGTTGTGGCTTGCATAGATAGAAAAGGAAATATTTTCTCTATAGATAGGTTGATCATATTTCAAGTCAAAACTCAATGGAAAAAAGCTTTACAGAGAACACATCTAATTAATCAGTTGTTCACCAATTAGATTTTGGTATATGTAGATGACTCAGAATCTTTTCTCTTGAATGATGAAAACCTTAGATCTCTATGTTGTTTCTATGAATAGTTATTCAAAAAGCAGTCGAACCCATTTCTTTTTGAAAATGAGAATAATTATTGATTCCAATTGATTGAATATTTGTCAGTTCGTCGATTCATTGTTGGCTGTCTATTTCATTGGTAATGGTTTGGATTAAAAAATTATGCATAGAGAATTTTATTAATTGATAAATATTTCTCAGTCGTATTCCGGACTTTTTTTTATTTCAAAGATTTTCATATGTTCGTTGCAACGAGACAACATGTCAATCATTGAATCTTTCAAAATCAACATTTATAAAACGATTCTTCAGCTATTAAAGACCGTCACAGAATACATTTTTTCTCGCCCTACCGGTAAGGCATCTGACATATTTAAATCAGGATTGATTAACGACAAGTGCATAACAGTTAAGTTATTTTGTAACGATAACTCACTGTTTGGCAAATGAAATTTAACTGATTTATGACATGAAAAAGAGATTTAGTTTTGAATTAAGTTTCGATTTCAATGACATTGTTTCCATATGATTGAAGTCTGACTTTAGTTTTAAAGTTAGATATTGTTCAATTTCGAAGGTTTTTTCAAAATCGCATCACTTTCAAAATGAGATTTGTTACATCTAATCGATTAAAATTTACGAATTAAAGAGATTCGAAAAAGAAACACAGAATTCAGATTAAAATTAAAATTCAAGTACCCAAAATCAGACTTTAATGAGATGAAAATCGATATTTGACAAAACAAAAAAAGAATGTGATTTTCATCATATTTGCTGTAACGTTTTATGGATAGGTCCGCTAGTACTACTCTAATAATTCTTAGTCATCGGAGCTGAAGCTATTGATACTTATTATCAAGAAAGGACTAAATTTATCGCTTGCGATTAGTATTTCTAGTGAGTTTCGTCATATTATATAAAATTTCTACAGAAAATTTGTTTTCATATGTGTCACAATGATGTCAACTCGATACAAATAATTTTAAGATATTCATATATTTATATAACAATAATTATCTGTCGTTATATATTTATTTGTTTGAATATAAGGTAGAAGGATGAAACAAACACAAAATATATTTTTTTTGTCATAATCCAATATACAAAATATAACAAGACAAGAACATTTAATGTAAATTTCGCTGAAAATGCGAAAAACAGCATATATGTATGTATATATATATATATATAGTTAAAGACATAATTGAACTATATCAAATAAGAACAAACAAGAAACAGAAGAAAAAGAGAATAGAAATGACGAAAATGAGAATTTTTTCTTAATTATAGTCTTTAATCATCAAATTTTCTAATAATTGACGGAAATAATTATCAACAACATTAGCACATTGAGAAAATGTTGAATTAATTGGATTAAATTGTCGACAATTGTTAAAGATTTTATTAACATCACGTATATAATCACATATCGTTTTAAATTTACTATTCATTACTTTCGTTTTTAATGTTGTTAAATCTAAAAAGAAATTTTATTTTAAAAGGAGATGCATTTTGTAAAACGATGAGATCGGTTCACTCTCGAAATTGAGTTCCTCATCTTCAAAATAGACGATCCGCCTTAGACTTCATTCCAGCTGAACGCGGCTAATTCAAAATTCGATATTATCTATCCTTTATAGATTTATGCTGTATAATATTTCTATGAAAAGCTTTCTTCTCGTTTCCAATTGATTTGATTTGAGTTATGAAAGCTTCTTACCTTCTCTATCGAATAGGATATAGAAGTATGACAAAATACTTTATTCGAACACATAATTTTCAAGAATACCAAAAATTACCATTTTGAACTGATATTTAATGAATTTTGATCAGAATAATTAAAATTTCTATCAAAACAAATGATATATTTGGAATCAGCATAAGAAACTGAGTCGATCTATATATGTCAGTAAGTTCTGTTACAACTTTTATTTTTCTCTTAGAATTCAGCCGTAGTCCCCCTCCTAGGGTTAATGATGTCAAGAAATAAAGTCAGTCAAACTCTCATTTTGGATTTTCCTAGTTTTTAAAAACTTAGATGTGACTTTCCACTGTCAAATTGTTGGTTTAACTGACTTCGTTTTTCAACGTAACTATAGGGGGACGAGACCAAGGATGAATTTTTGGACAAAAATAAAAGTTGTCACAGAACGTACGGACAAATATAGATCGACTGAGTTTCTTATGAAGCCTGATTATTCTGACGAAAATCAATCCACAAGGGCCATTTTTTGTACTCCTAGATGTTGCGTATTTGTCTAAACTATCTTGGTCACACATTAAGTTCGGCGGCAATAGGATTATTTTGTAAAGTTTTGAAAAGTCTATCGAATAATATATATAATTCAAAGTGGATTACAGCTGATTTAGGCGAAGAATTTAACATGGCTGTTCTGATACTTTTTACGCCAGAGGACAGGCTCGTTTCTCAAAAACAAGGAATACACAAATATTTTGTCATATTCACATATTCTATTCGATAAAGGAAGAAAAGTTTCCATTTAATATATATAACTTAAATAAAATCAGTTGAAGACGAGAGAAAAACTTTTCATTAGAACAAAGTGCAAAGCATGAACCGACAAAACGCTTGCAAATCGTATTTTTAATGGATACATCCATGAATAGTCAGCCGCAAAATATACCGAATAAATCATGGTGCTAGGACCAAAATACTCAAATGCTTCAATTGTTTCTGACAACTGCTAAATGGTATTGGATGTTTTCGAGTATTTTAATTGTATAACAATGATTTATTCAGTAAATTTGAGCATTTTTTTTTACCAGAATGTCAAGTTTTGAATTAGTCACGTACACCCATAATGAAGTCTGACTCGAATGAACATTAACTTGACTATGTGGGAAATGATAAATTCAATTTCGATAAGTCGTTTGATTTCATCGTTTAACAAGACTTCTTCCTTTTTTTCTCATCTTACCCATAGGATCTTTTATAATTGAATAATAATTAGGTACATCTTTAATATCTACGGGTTTTTGAAAGGGCCAAGCCATTTTATGTGCCTAGAAAATCGAGAAAGAAAAAAACGAAAACATAGAATATATTAATTTTTCAATATGAAATTTTATTTACTAATAATTGATCGGTAAGATTTAACAAATCGTTTTGCATTTCGTTATTTATCGGTTTATTAAGAAATTCTTGTTTTTTTTTTGTTGAACATCTTGGACAAACATAAACTTCAAATTTTTCAGCTTCTTCTGGTGTTATACTAACACAAGAACCATGTAACCAATCAGCACAAACATCACAACCAATATAAAATCTAATTAAAATAAAAAAAATAAAAAATAAAACGTTTTGTAAATGAATTTTTTATTTTTATTACTTTGATTCATCATATGGTTTTTGACAAATACAATATAAACGTTCTTTAGCTTTTTGTGTTAAATATGTACAATCTTGACATATAAATTCTTTTAATTTTTCCGCAAGACGTGGTGTTAAACCAACACATGTACCATGTAACCATCGTGAACATAATTCACATTGTATAAAAAATTTTTCTTGAATATCAGTTCTTTGACAACTACAATTAATATCTGAGATATTGATTTCGGTTTTTTCTTTTTTATTTGATGAATTTTTTATTGTTATAATTTTTTTAGATTTTTCAGTAGATTTCATTTTAGCTATTGTTGTTGTTGGTGGTGGTGTTATTGATGTTGACGATGAAGGTTTAAGATTTTTAAGAAGATTTTCATCATTATCAGATGATACATTCACACGTGAACGACGAGCTTTTTTTGATACAGGTTGTTGATCATTATCAGTAGTTTTTGTTGGTGGAAGTGGACGTGTTCGTTTAGCTGGTGTTCTAAATGAGATAAATTTTTTATTAGAAACTGATAGTGATTAGGATTTCTATTGAGTTTTCGTCTTAGAGTAGATTTCTCATCTGTGTACGAACGATAGTATATATATGTCGGATGATCTATAATTGTTTTACGCAAAGGTTCTCATAGGATAGAAATATAAAACACGATCATAGTTTGCTTGACGATATGTGTTCTTCATTGGAAATAGAATCTCTCTTGATTTTTTAATGTTCCCATATGAAGAGTTTCATATGTTTTAAACCTCGATGAAAATACTCATTCATGATTTAATGTGATTAATTATTTAATCAATAAATCATAATAAGTGTCAAACAAACTTTCACGACAACTACTTATTGATTTCTATTACACTTTTTAAACTCAAATGTATTCTACAGTTTTAATCAAAAATAATATCGTTGATCTATTTCCAAAAACTTGAATACTAACTATATCATTATATTTTAATGTTGATATAAGTATTCAAACCTCATATAGATGTGTTCAGTTAGAGACCGCATTTTCTGTCTACATATGTATGTATATTAATTTTCGTTAATATTCAAAACTAATGAAACACTCTATATGATATGTTAATAAAATCATACAAAGATGGAATATTCAATTTCATCAATTGACAGTCATATTTTGAAATATTCATTGTTTTCTGTCGAGTAAAATAAATTTCTCTGATTCTGTTTTGCTATGTAAATATTCATGAACCTATACTAATGATAATCACTCATCACTTTTTTTTTTGTTACTTTTTAATTTTTTGTTCAGATGATTTGGGTGTATCTTGTCGTTTACTTTTATTTTCATTTCCAGTACTTTTTCTTGCTTTTTTAATTTTAGGCGGCGCTGGAATATCAATAGTTTTCTCTTTATCATCATCTGAACTTAATTCTTCTTGTTTAACAACTGTTGCTTGTTGCTGTTGTTGTTGCTGTTGTTTAAGTATCATTTGTTGTTGTTTAAGACGTTGTGTTTGAACTTGTTCTTTGACTAATGCTGTTTTTCGATTGAGACGATATGCAATAAAATCTTTTCGAAGACTATCTACACGTTCATTTAATAAACGTGTTAAAATTATTTGACGATGATTAGATATTGGTGTTATTGTATTTGAATTTTTAATACGTTTTTTCATAGATTCTTGATGTTGTTCACGTTCAATTCTAGTCATTATTGAGCGAAGAACGGCTTCACAAATTTTTATTCTAAACAAAACAAAAACTGTTAGTATAAATCTCTGTGTGATTAAAATATGATGTAATTGCTATGGATAACTCCAGAGAGATTCTTTTATTCTATCGATTTTGGGAAAAATTATCCTTTTCGTTAACCGTTCGTTACTATCGTAAGGTTCAAGTAGGCCTGCTTTACAGTTTTTCGTCTAGTATAATATTAAAATTTGTTCTTTGGGATTATTTCTCTTCAGTAATCTCTAGTCTTTAGTAGATGCAGAAAAAAAAAGCTTGTTAGCGCAGCCCCTTTGGGGCTGAAATGTGGAACTCGCATATGTTCTCCAGCTTCGTTATTTTAATACGAAATACAGAAGGTGAAAAATAAAGAATTTTTTATTTTTCGTTTCCTGACGGGCGCCCTATTTTTGTGTACTCAAAAAGTGAGTACACTCTAGAATCGGTCAGTATGTCCCGCCGGCCGGCCGGACGTTTACACGATAACTTTCGAAAGGAGAGTCAGATCATGATGAAATTTTCTACACAGTTCAGTCTTAACAATGTCTCGGTCGAGTTCGAAGATGAGAAGGATCTGTCAAGAAATGGCTGAGTTATCGAAAAAATTGTCATTATTGACCAGACCATTCCTGAGGGGGGGGGGGGAGCGCAGGGGTTTTTTCCAAAAAAAATTTTTTTCTCGGAATTATTCACAACATATATAAATCAACTCAGTTTTTAATGGTGATTCCGAATCTGATATTAGTTTTGAACCAAATCGTAGCTTTCCAAGAAAACATCGGTTGAAAAAGGTCTAAAAATGCATAAAAACTGCATGGAGAAATCAAATAGGCTAGATATGTCTCAGATGATACAAAACAAAGTGAATATACCTGCTCACTTTTTAAAGTACACATAACACTCGGATTTAAATCCGAGGTTTTCGCATTTATTTGTTTTCATTGTTGCTATTCGCTCATTATTTTTTTCTAATTCGTTTTTCTTAATTTATCATTCTTATTGTTATAATCATTGAACTGATTGACAAGTAAGTGTGTTTTACATATCTATGATATCTACAGTAGATCTTACACACTATGATATATATATTAATCAAGTCACAAATAATGATATTCATTATTTTTCAAAATAATAACTTGAAGAATTTTCCACAAAAAAACTAGAAAATCTAACATCTTTTATATTGATTGCTAAGGTCTGTAATGGGAACTTCCGTTGCTATGGTGTCTGTAAGGGGTGAGGAGGGGAGCCGCAAAAGCTCGAACTTAAAACTTACACTCACTATTTTCTTCGAAAATATATGTGAGTTCCACAAAATACAGTTGTGAGTTCAGATGAATCCTATAAAACCAACCGTGTTATTATTGACATCATTTGTCATCTTGCTGAAACTGCGATCTATTGTCTCTCAATAGCTTCGTTTGTATGATAGTTAATATGAGAGAGTCTTTCTCTATATATTATACGTGGAAAATTCTTTGTATAAGCAGATAATAAATTATATATCATTTGACGTTGATTCTAAATATGAAATTAATCTTAAATAAAAGTGTTTCTATATGGACAAAAATGAGTTTTATCTAGACAGCGTTGAGCTCAGTTCTAGAACGCTAGCGTTGATATCGCGCTAATGCTAAATCGATGTTATGGATACAGAAATATTCTATGAAAGTTTTTCTTGTAATTTGAAGTTGTGGAAAACTACACGAACTCAATATATTGAATACATGTTTTCTTAACAAGCACTCGATATTAAAGAAGAATGACTTCAGATTATATATAATCATACCGAATGCCTTCTTCGGGATCAATTTTTATTTTTTTATCATCAACTATTGATGGTATTGGTATTGTTTTACGAAGATTTTTTGTTTTTTGTATAACAATCGGTGTTGGTTCAATTTTTGGTTTTATTGCGGAACCATTCGTATCGATCGTAACTGTTTCGGAAATAGTTGTTAATGGAGTATCTTCAATTGTTGTTGGTTGTTCGAAACGTACGATTGTCTCCAATTGTTGTTGTTGCTGCTGTTGAAGGAGAAGTTGTTGTTGTTGTTGAGCAAGAAGACTATGTAATAATTCATTTGGTGTTTGAATCGATGTTAAAGGAGCTGGTGCTATTGGACGTAAACGACGTTCTTGTGGACTAATAGATATTGTTTGTGGTTGAGATTTTGGTGGTGATGATGCTTTAATAATTTTTGAAATTCCATTATCATTTTGTTGAACAGTTGTTGTTGGAACAAGAATAATTTGTCCATCAGCTAATTTAACAACAGAAAATGATTTTTGTTGTATTGGAAGATTTGTTGATGATGATTCACCAGTTGCTTTGACAATAACAACTTTTCCACTTTCAGTATTTAATGTTGATTTAGGTTGCAAATGAGGTATACGAACAATAAATGGTTTAGCTGGTTGCTGTTGTTGTTGTTGTATTGGATTGTTTAATATTGGTGTTTTCTTTTTATGTTTTTTTCTATCATCATTTGTTTTTTTATGTAAACGTTTATAATTTTTTTCTTGTAAACATTGATAATAATATTTGATTTGATTTGGTTGAAGTTGTCTTTCAGGTAACCATTGTTCACTAAGAATTAAACGATTTGATGTTAATATTGATGATGGATGAGGAACCGCACGACTACGTGATTTTGATATAGGAATATTAAAATTTGATGATTCATTTGTTTGTGGATGAATTGTTTTACGAACAAAATATTCACAATAGGAATTATATGGACCAGAATCACGTTTAGCTAAAACTTGTATTGTTGTTGTTATACCATCATTATCAACATGAGTTGTTATGGATGATTCATCAATATTGGAAAGTTTTTCTGTCAGAAGATCCCATCTAGAATAAATCAAAAAGAAAAATTTTAAACAAAAACAAAATGATTAACATCTAAAAGTGATAAATGATAGGGCAACATCTAACATATGTCAATCATTTAAGAATAGAAAAAGTGTATAAAAATATAAACAAATATCAAAATAAGGTTATTTTATGAACGATAATAAAATACATATAGATTTTTGTCCTGAGAACGTAATCTATGTAAGCTGTTTGCAGAGAAAGACTTTCTTTATCTAATAGTATATGCATTATCAAGTTTTACTACAACCTGTTCATCGGTCAATAGATGAACAGTACGCAGTAAAATTTTCCATGTTGTTCAAAATCGCAGCTTTTTTTTATGCTGAATTTTTTAACGTTTGCCAACATGAGTCATCAATGATTTTGTGATGATCCGAACAACTACGAATATGACAAACAGACGTATTCTGGGATTCGAAATTAGATCTCAGCTAGTAAAGAAACGTTTTACATGTACTTTGAGCTAATATATCATACTAACAGTGATTGGATTGAATCAACTAACGGCATACATTATATTCTACTAATATTCCCTGAGGTATATTATAGAAGAATGAAATTCAATCTCGTACTATGGGTGCATAAAATAAAAACAGAATTGTTTAGAGTGTGTGAACTTCAAGTAAGGATACGATGGTTAAGAAATATTATAGAGCAACAAACACGAAGAAAAATATTTCAGTTACCGTTAGATGCGATACATATCGCTGGTACAGAGTACAACAAATATATTCATTTCGTCACACATGAGCCTGTTTTATAATAGAAATCAGCTCCGTTATCTTTTTACATTTTGAAACTACTGAAATCCGTTTTTTTTTCGTCTCCGACCTCTTCTATCATACAAAAGCTGTTAGCGTAATCCCTGTAAAATTTAAATGTAAAACAAGATGTAACTATTGCTGCTAATCACAGAAAGATTGTTTTATTCTATCTATTTTGAAATACATCGTCCTTTTACTTAAACCTTCAGATATGCGGTCTGTGATGGTATATCAACAATGTCTGTTATGACTGGTTGCTAGATGTCTGTCATATTTGTGAGAGGAAGCGAGATTTCAACACTTTATAGATCGTGTTTTACAAAAGAAAGTTCCTAGGTTTCAAATGATCTATTCAGAGGTGCGGTGATAGAACTAAAATATGAATCGTTAAACTTATACATGAAAATCACTGCCTTAATTTTCAAATAATTTATCATTACAAATTTGTTTTTTTTTTTTTTTAAATTGTAAATCGATATTATGAATATTATTATTATTATGATCAACTAACCTTATACAATTCCATAAATATTTGATATGATGAGCAATTGAAAAAAATGAAGTACTTGTTTGTACTTTATAACACCATGCCGTTCGAACAGATGGTCTACCACATGGATAAGGCCAACCAAATCTCGTTCCAATACCACTTAAACGTGAATTAATAAAACCTGGTACATCTGTTAATGTCATTGATGCTCGTGCAAGACGTCGAAGTATATAAGATGGAAGTATAAATATATTTGGTGGTATTTGATTATGAAATGAAAATGTCCATGGTAATGGTAATTGAAATTGATTTATTAAAGTTTTTTTTCCATTTGTTGATGCAGCAGCTAAATGAAATGGTCGACTTGTATCGTCTAACATAATTGGATATCTATAAGATACACCATTATAATCAATTTTTTTATAATTAATAAATGTTAAATCATCAATTAAATCATCATTATCATCTTTAGCTGTTAATAATAAATTGTTTAATTCATTTTCAATATTAATATCATTTCCTAAATCATTTTTAAGTTTAATTTCAATTAAATTAATAATTCTATTACGTTCATTTAATATAGCATTTGACATATTTTCACGACGTATTAATAAGGAATTAATATCGAATGATTGTTTTTTATTTGGTATTATTGTACGACGAGTTGAACGTATAAATGTCCATCCTTGACCACCAGCTAAACGATATTCTTCACCACGTTGTTTATGTACACTATGTTTTAATGGTCGTGTAAAATGTACATATTGTATAATGGAATCAGCATCAATTTTTCGTCTTATAAATGCATCTTTTTCTTCTTTTTTTGCTTCATCACGTTCTTTTTCTGTTTCACGACGAAATTTTAAATAACCAACTTGATCAGTAAATAAGTCAAAATATGAAACTGATTTAATACAAGTTTCAAATTGAAGTAAAAGATAAATTAATTTTGATAATGATATATGTTGATTGAAATTAAGTAATTGTTTAGCCCATATATATCGATAACGTTTCCAATGTGAATGCATAAATGGTAATGGAATTGTATTTTCAAAATAGACTAATGTTATACGTAATATATCGGAAAGATTTTTTAATGAATAATTTGATGTTAATGATAATGATGGAGAATACCATGCAAATGATGGTGAATGATTTATACTAAATTTACGTGCTAAATGTGCACGTCGATCACGTTCATTTAATAACATTTGTTTTCTTGTTGCAAGAGAATTTGTTTGATAATAATTTTCATAATGAAGATGACCTTTAGATGGAAGTATAAATATATTTGGTGGTATTTGATTATGAAATGAAAATGTCCATGGTAATGGTAATTGAAATTGATTTATTAAAGTTTTTTTTCCATTTGTTGATGCAGCAGCTAAATGAAATGGTCGACTTGTATCGTCTAACATAATTGGATATCTATAAGATACACTATTATAATCAATTTTTTTATAATTAATAAATGTTANAATTTTCAGAAAACAACTTGACGAAATATCATTTTGTTAGTTTAAATCATTTACAAAAAGTGCAAGTAACTAGATTATGTGAAACAAATCATATTGAATAATAGCATTCTTTTCTTTAATTGAAGTTTACAGCGGGAAAATTTTTCGAAAAGTTTTGCCGTTGAGGGAAAATTTTTATTTCACCGGCAGATTCTGCACCCCTGAGTGGTATTCCAACAAAAGAAAGCATTCAATCATAGTTTATACCACGCCTTATAACAATTCTCGATAACTTTATATCACAACTTTTCATTAGTACACTATGTAATAAAAAAACAATACTTTTTATTTCATTTTCATCATCCCATACCTATGAAAAATACTTTTTCCGGTGTATAATAAGGTATTTTTTTTCCAAGCACAAGTCGTATTTCATCAACCAATCGACACCAATTTGAGGATAATGTACCAACATGTAAATCTGCATTAGCTTCAATAAATAAATCACTCAGAAATTCTAATACGATTTTTCCACGTTGTTCTCTTGTCATGCGAGTTAATGATGCAAAAACAACATTTCTCTGTACAGTTATATTTAATAATTTATAATAACCTTGCTTTTCTTTATTTATTTGAATAAATTCATTGAATACTTGTTCATCTTCGGAATTAATATAAACTGTTGATATATTTGCTTGTCGAGCGTCAGCATCAAATAAATCAAAATATTGTTTAAGTGCATATGCTTGAGACATTTCTCTATTTCGAACTTTATCTGACCGACGGACATATACAGCAATATATGGATGATGAAGATCAATGAAAGGTGGTTTAAAAGATTTTGCTATGGTATTCTGAACATGACTTAATGTTTCAGATTTATATCGCATTAAATAAAATAATAACTGTGCACGATACCAATTAAAAGTTCGATTTTGAAAAATGCGTGGACGAGTAGCGTTAACCCAATGACCAATATTAGCAATGATTTTAATTGTTTGATTGCCATCGACTTTCGATGGAATTGAACAATTAGTTATTGGAAGAAAAACACAATCGGGTGTGCCTGTATTACAAGCTCCATAAAGCTAAAATAAAATCAATTAGTAAGAATTAGTATTTATTTCAACCGTAACTTTTAGAACTTTTCCAATGGTCGACATACTCATTTCAATATTAATTAGAATGAGATGAGAACGAGAATTTGTTCATCTAGACAATAGAATTTGATAAAATTTTTGTTAAAACATGTTATATACTTTTGAAAAATAAGTTCGAAATTTTGAATAATTTCAAAAATACAAGAAGAAATTCATGACTTATGTAACTTAGTCAATAAACTATATGGCTTAAATTTTATTTTAATGACATCAATCTATGTTACCCAATTTCCTGGTGTTTCATATACAGCAATTCTATTGTCCGCTATTGCCTTGCCAAATGCCCATACAATTTGATGAACAGTAGATCCAAAACCAGACCAAGCAAAAGTATGAATAATAGCAAAACGTTTATTCGTACAATCCATTGGATGTTGATGTTCATAAAGCCATTTTTGTGCTTGTAATATATTCGGTAGTGAAAATTCATTTGTTGCTGAATGATCACATGAATCAATGTTATTAATATCTGGTCCACCGCTATAATTGACAGTACGACATGGTAAAAGAGTTGCTAGACGAAAATAATTGTCATCAGCTAGACGTATCGACCAGAGATGTGTGGAATTATATCCATCGAACGATGTTTGTAGCAATTTTTTATTGTTTATTGATGATCCTTGATTAAATTTCATATTTGACGAAAATAGAATACGTATTTTACTTTTTGTTTCATGAAAATTTGAACCAAGAAGAAAACCACATATAAAAACTAGAATTAATGGAAATATAGTAGACGAATTTCTAATAGTTATTATTGGTAATGATAGATTATTTATGAAATATTTCATCGCGAATGATGAATTGGATACTAATTAAATGAAGAAAATGTTTTATACTATAATTTCTTCAACATGATTTAACCATTGCGTTATTTTTATAGATATGTTTCAAATAGTTTACCATGGTAAAATTTTATTCATATCAGCAATCACATGAATGGCATAATCTAAAAACACAACAAGAACATTAAATATTAGTATTCGAATAAATAGAACTTTGACAAAGATAAAGTACTTCGTATCATGGCTTTAAAACTTTCAACTATTGGTAATTCTATCATACCAATGCAATAAGTCAATAGATAATATAAACCAGATGACAATGAAACTGAGCAGAACTCAAAATGCTAGAAACATGCAAAGCATTTCAATTTTGGGTTTTCAACATTGCATAGATAACAATAACTTTTAATACCTTTTGAATCAATCAACATTTCCTATTATTTTTGAAAGCTGTTGAATCTACAATCTAATCGTGCTTTGATTATTATGGAAAAACATATTCATCAATTCAGTTTGTTCAGATTAGAAAACTGCTGGACACTGTAGCATGTTTCACCAAGCACTTTGTTAAAGTCCTCTCCTCTTTCAAAAAATGATCTTGGTTCAAGAATATTTAAATCATATGAAATTTTCAGAATATGTTGGAGCTATCATGAAGAGGCTGTGATAAAATTTTCAGATTTATGTCATCATGTTTCTGTCATACCCTGCACATTGACAAACTTTTTCTATTAAAAAAAATTTACTGCCTACAATGAAGCTCCTTCGAGACTTCTGCTATGTGCGATGCAGAAAAGCATAAATCGAGAAAAATCGGAAAAGACTTTCGACTTTTCTAAAAACAGCTTATTTTTCAAGTTGAGAGTAAAGGGTGTAATCAAAGATGTTTGGAAAAAAACGATATACTAAACAAGAAATCATATCATTTTCGAAAGAGCAGACTTTCGGATTATCTTCTTACGCACTTATCTCAATTTCTATGTTTTTGACGACAAGTGACTTTTGTTGAATGAACAAGGGGGGGGGGGGAGGAAGCTTCAATACAATAAAAACTTATCAGTGCAGCCCCTTACGGTGCTAAAATGTGGGACTCACGAACACTGATATTCGTAAATCTATGGCATATGGTGGGAAATCTTACAATTCATTGAAAAAAAACATCAATTAAATGAGTAAAACAAAATTATAAGAATATCTATATTTGATAGGCTCACTCTGAAATTTTATTGTTTTGAAACTGCTTGCGTTTAGAATTCTTTTTCTGTCAAGTTATTCGAATTATTTAATGTTATTGTAGTGTGAAAACTCGTTTTCATTGTGAGATACATCTTCCATGCATAACTCATTTTCTCTTAACGATATTAGATATTTAAGTGATGTCATAAAAGTGGTTAATATAACTTGCATTTTCATTTCATCAGTCCAACTACCATATTAGCCTATTACATAAATCAACTCAATAGCTCAGTAAGTTACCGTACAAACCATCGTTTCTCTCCACGAACTTTCAAATGTAGTGCTGAGTTCGCTTGAACTTAGAATTGATTAAGTTCATATTATTTTATCCTAGCCTTATCGGACTCCGCTAAATTAAAAATATAATAGCCTAATGATTTGTTCCTGGAATAAGATCCGTTTGTTGCATTAAAAGCCAGAGCATGCTATATTTAGACTATTCAGCATTGGCAGAGTTCCAGTATCATCTAATAACGGATACTACTTACGCATTTTCTTCTGTTGCCAGGTAACCATATCCAGAAGTATTTAGTTTCCCGCCATCTGGTTGCTAGGGCTTGGGGGGGGGGGGGGGGGGGGGGGGAAAGAGTGTTGGGGGGGGGGGGGGGGGGGGGGGGGGGGGGGAACAAAAAATTCTCCCCGTTTCGGCCTCTGGTTTGAATCCTTCATCTGTCAATTGTACATTAGTATTTGATACAAGCGAGGGTTTTAATATTCAGTTGAACTTTAGTTCGTCGTGTGGGACGAGTCATTATCATGCAAGAGTTCTAGCCAACGATTTTAATTACATGCTCAAGGATGAAGCGAGACTGTGCTTCTTTTGGAGTGATGAAACCTCTTTGGATCTAAAGATAAAACAAATCTTTTTTCCAATAATCCAAATCAAAATTTGTTGAAATGCTCGTCGAATTAAAAGCACAAAGCCTCGCTGTGAAAGAAGTAGTTTAATTTCTTCATGAAACCATGACGTCTGCCATTATGTCAATTTCCATCATTGTACATACTGCGATAAGTTTTGAGTCGAATGATTTGAAAAAAGGAGATGTAATGCATATCAATATCAATATCAATCGATTCTTGCATCATACCTTTCCGTTCTACGAGTCATTATGCATTTCTGCTCAACTCAACACAGCTCAAGTTCATCATCATCAAATGCAACATCATGGTTTGGGAAATTGACGTACACATAACCGACGATATCACTTTACTGATTTAGAGGATTATTATACGGACAGCTACACAGTTTTTCCACGATTCAATTGAAAGAAAGAACATTTGACCGAACTCATTTATCTCAGCTACAAGACATTGTTCTCTAGTTGAATCATTATTTCCTCCATATGTATAGCCGCGTCTTAAATCAATTCACCTGTTTCAATTCAGGCTTTCTTAACGGATACGTAGAGCAAACAGAGAAATTATAAAGCTGAATCAATCCACATCATGACAAATTTCTTCCAATTATTCAAACGACCAATAGTCAACTCAAACAATATTTATTCAGAAAGCGATAGGCGTGTCCACAAAATGGTGTTTTACACTAAACAATTTCAACTTGCAAGCGCCTTGTTTGACATATGTTAAAACTTTTCTGCTCAAATATCAATTTATCTCAATTGTGCAAGATCAAAACGAACCACGATAGACGCCAATATATCCGAGAAAGTGTTTCTTGCCTTTTTCGTTAGCTAATCCCATTCTTCTTTTATCAATCAGCATTTTCTCAGTGACTTTCTCTGATTATTCACTCAGAACTATTTTACTAGAAGAAGTGAGATTAATATCTCAATTTTTGAAAGGTTTAATTATACTTTCCCACAAACATTTTTTCGTAGTTGGATTATTTTCATGTCACTAATGCTAAGGACCCCGATAATCATGTTCTTGGCATTTCTGTATGAAAACAAGCCTTCTGTCGATTGTGATACAATTTGATGATGGCGGCTAACCGTACTACTAGTTCGTTCAGTTGGATGGATTTTGAAGACACATTCCTGAGATAGAAGCTGTTTCACTCTATTTGGAATAGCATGTGTGAGATTTTTATTTGTTGGTTCGGTTATCAACGATGTTATTCGGTACTTTGTCAGTATCACAATTCAATTAATTGTATTTTAGCAATGCATTGAAGGGTGAGCCAAGTTTCTTTTTGAACGATTTCTTTTAAATGTACTCCATTGTATCTAATCATAACCGATGATATTTTATTGGTCAACGTTCTGATGAAACTTGATCTTGAGGCACCTTTGATAGACTATCTCAAAGTTCCGTAACAAAAAACACTGATCTGACCAGAAAACACTTATTTCTAAATGAAACATGAGTAAGATCTTTTATGGAACTTTAAAAACGTTTCAGTAACCAGGTAAAAAAACTGTTGTTTTGTGTTCTTTCACTGAACATACCTATAAAACACGAGCAATGATTACATTCAGAGTCATTCGAAGGACGTCTCAGCTACGCAAAAAACATTCAAGGATTGAAACTCACTCTGATAGCAATCGTAATCGATTAAAAGTGTGAATGTGAACGAAAACTAGAATATCACCAGCAACTGAACCTCTTACCTATACTTGGTAGCTGCATCTAAATCAACACCGACTCACACTCACTCCCATAAGAGTCATCTTATGAATAAAAATCACTATCTCACCCAACATAAATTCAAAGGAGCTGAGATTTTTCTCATGTCTAGTTGTATTTATATAGAAGACGATGTGACATTATGAGCGCAAAAGAGTTAAAAAAAGTAGAGTTATCAGTTTTAGAAAATGTTAATGTTTTTCTAAATGTTTTGAAGAATAACACTAATTTCGTCGTCGCCTGTATCGTTGAAGTTCGGATCTGATTCAGAATTGTCACATTTCCGGTATTCATCAACATCATGTTCCATTATTTCATCTGAAATGTGATCAAGTGATGTTTCACTTTCCACAAAAAATCAATGACAATTGATCATTGAATTTAATAGTTCAGCTAGTTGGTTGACAATCTATTGCTTAGAGATTGTCGTAGTTAAAAGATTAGAGTTTTCAGATGCAACCGATGGAAGAAAACTTCTCTGGAAGAAAAGAAGACATTGGCAATTCATTAATCATTTTGATTATAAGCGATCAAAGGTAGTATTACATAAAAAAACTCAGGCTATGGTAACCTATTTTCGTCTCCCTTAAACACGTGGTATGAAGTGATTTTATTCATCGACATTCATTTGATTCATTTATTTTCATGGAAAACTTTTCATTATTCGTATACGAAACAGATTACTTTATTATCGACTCACAATATAAGCACGGTGATAGATATTAGAACTAAGGAAAAATAAAATATTATCGTAATGCACCACCATTATCAAGCATTCGAAAGTGTATTACGATGCAAGTGCTGCATGTTCTAAAATTTTCAACCGTATATCTCGTAATTCTAAGAAGTAGCAGAACAATTCGTATTTAGAACAATATTAATATTTTCTAAAACTGATAGTTCTACTTTTCTAAGCCTTTTTTTTTTTATAAGATAACTCTTATAGTTGTAATAGTCAAAACCTTCGATCTCTACAGAAACAAACTAGGAACATAAACCTTTGCCATGGTAAACACAATTCGTTAAGATCTACAAGACATTCAAAGTACTGACTCAAAAACATTCGAACACTTAGGAATATTCCCCAGTAAGATTCCATTTCATTCGTAGAACTTTTGAAGTAAAGACGGAACTATTGTAACTGCCATTGCATTTGATCTAAGGGCTGTATGAATAGTTAGTTC